CTTCCAGTAAGAAAGCTCTTCCAAAAGGTAGGCTTAAAAACTTCATTATGCTGCCTTGCTTTGGACAAATTCTGAGGCCGCATTATGTATCTCATGCAGGAAAAGCAATCCCATAATGCACTGCATGAAAAAATAAATACATCAGATGAGGACTTTTTTTATATCATAAGAGAAAGTCAAGGTTTTTACAATTATTCCATGAGGCTGTAAAATGCTTGATTCCGATTGGCTGATAATCATTCTATTTTCCAAAACAGCTGCATTGGAAATATATATTTCTTTAGGGGGTCGCACACCAGATGCGCCGCTTGGTGACGTGCCACGCAGCACCATGCATTTTAGATGCAGCGCCGCAAGTTGGGGGCAGTTTGAGGCACCCAGCCATGACTCAGGACATATCTCATGTTCAAATTTCTGTCGCAACTGGGGTGCGATATTTTCAACTGTCATGTGCGCGCAGTGTTGCGGCGCCGAGCGGCACATTCAGTTTGCAACCCCCTTTAGTCTACATTTTTAGTCATGCTTAAACATATATTTGACTGCAGTTTCTAGATAAGATGAACATTACAGTTTGACAACTTTTATTTATTTTTTCATATTAATAATATTTACAGGGAAAAATTCTTAATGAATAGATCCTTATTTTGTGTAGTTTTTTGCACAACACCAAGTAAATGCTAAAAATGACTTCACGTTTTATGTATTTATCTTTATCCAGCATGGTCAGATTGCTCGGTAGATGTACTCATGATGCAAAATGTTTGGGTTTGAGTCCAGTAAAAAAAATGTAGACAGCGCCCTCTAGTGGATTTGTCATCTGAAATGTGCAACAAAATGTAACCGGAGCAATGTACTATACATTTCGCAAAAACATAGACCTATGAACATATTTCCAATGAATCTGGGCTATTATTTTTAGATAAACAAACAGCTAAAAGTTCCAGGCGGGTCTTGAAAACATATATATATATATATATATATATATATATATACACACACACACTCACACACACACACACTGTATGTGTGTATATATATATATATATATATACACATACACACAGTTGAAGTCAGAGTTATTAGCCCGCCTGAATTATTAGCGCCCCTGTTTATTTTTTAAACTGATTTATTTTATCTTTGCCATGCTGAAAGTAAATAATATTTTACTTGATATTTTTCAAGACACTTCTATACAGCTTAAAGTTACATTTAAAGGCTTAACTAAGTTAATAAGGGGAACTAGGCAGGTTAGGGTAATTAGGCAAGTTATTCTATAACGATGGTTTGTTCTGTAGATTATCAAAAAAAAAAAAAAAATTAGCTTAAAGGGGCTAATAATTTTGTCCCAAAAATAGTTTTTAAAAAAAATTTAAAACAGCTTTTATTCTAGCGGAAATAAAACAAATAAGACTTTTTCTAGAAGAAAAAATATGATCAGACATACTGTGAAAATTTCCCTGCTCTGTCGAACATCATTTGGGAAACATTTAAAAAAGATATATATCTTAGCTTTGGATGAGCTGCACAAGAATCTAGTTTCACACAGGGGAGTAGTCTGAGAACAATAACCTGACAAAAGACTTATAAAATAGATGTGATAAATGTGAAATCTAAACAATGTTTTACATTGTATGTGCTTTATTTTCTTATAATTCAACAGCCCATCGTCAATTACACCTTACTTAAAGTCTGTGTGAAATCAAAATTTGCAATATTTATTTAGCTAGAGCACATTGGTATTTGTTAGGTAAACAAGAAATCTGTGAAAGTAAATTAATTCGCTGAAAAATCTTTAATCTTTAATCAAACTCTGACTTATCTGTGTTTGAGTGACGGTTCTTCTCTGTCAACATCAATTTGACTGCTTCAGCCACAATAATCTTAGCCATGCCCCTCTACTTCTGCCCCCCTAGTCTCAGCAACTTTAAGTACATGCAGACTTTAAATTAATATTCAAAATATTGGCTTTTGTTTTTAACAGCACTAACTTAAACAGGAACCAGTGAAGACTGAGTACATTTTGACAGATTTTTTTTTGTCAACAATCACTTTAAGTCAAGCCTTAGTTCCGACGCACTACTTCATTGTCGCATTCACAGCTATTGCCTAGAGATTTCCTAATCACATCCAAGACAATTTGGACGTTGACTTGGAAGGCAACTGGCCACAGGCAGTAGGCAGCGTGTCAGTGCACAAGGTTTTGGAACAAAGCTCCTGTCTTTCATCTGCCTAGTGCTTCTTTCTCATTGTCTCCATCTCCTGTCTTTCTAATCTCGTCAAGCCTCTGGTTTTTCAGCACACATTGTATCCCCCTGCGGATCTGAAAGTTCAGAGAGAAAGACAGTATGGCACTTTCCCTGTTGCCTTGGGTTAGGAACAACACATTCTGAGATAGATTGCATGATAATATTGCATGAGTCTGCAGAACGCTATTAAATTGGGGTGGAAAAAAAAGTGAGTGGACTTCTCCAACACAAAGAAAGTTCCTCTCACTAGCTTGGTGTTTTCTATGTTGAGTATTTCAAGAAAAGTTTTTGGCTGGTGCAGAATGTGTGGATATATCAAGAACATGATTTAAAAGTAAAGAAAAGTTAGATGCATACCTGACAAAACTTGTCAAGAATATGTCTGGTTCATATTTCACATCTAAATAAAAGTTTTGTTTTAAGACAATTACCATTTCGAGCAGACTGAGGAACAGCTTTTTTCCCAGAGCTGTCTCCCTTTTGAACTCTGCCCCCATTAATCACTCTTTATTATTTAATATTTGCACAATTAAAATTGCACATATTTATCACACTTCATTGCACTAATTCATCTTGAGTTGTACATACCCATTGTCCAAATACATTTGTAATTATGTTCATATCTATCTGCATACCTCTGATTATTAATAACAACCTTTACATATACTCATCTATTGTAAATCTCTGTTCTTAGTTAATATAACCTGTATATAATGTTCATAGTACATTAAATCTGTATCCTGCACTTGCTGCTATTGTACTCCTGGTTACATCTAAACTGCATTTCATTGCCTTGTACTTGTGTAATGACAATAAAGTTGAATCTAATCTAATTATCATAATAAAGCTCATTCCCCAGCCACGAAATAAAGTCTGCTTATTACTGTAATATGAAAATGTATATATTATTAAAATATCATTACACATTTGAGTAAATTAATTATCATTTTAAAAGACACATAAATAAATAAATAAATAAATAAATAAATAAATAAATAAATAAAGTTTATATTTTATATAGTTTTTATTAGTATACAATTACATTTATTTTCTTATTATTATTTTTTATATTTTTTATTATTTTTTATTTTTATTATTATTTATTTTTTTTGGGTTAATATTTCAAGAATATTTACAGTAAATGTTTTCTTTTAGTATCAATGTATAACTATTGTAGAATTTATTAATGGTCTTATTTTGTATTAAATTGGTCTGGTTTTAGTTTTAAAAAATCTTATAGTAATGTCTTAGTATATTTCTGTTTTTTAAAGGTGTCAATATAATACTTCATTATTTTTATTTTATTTATTATTTAAATTTTGCTTATTTAATTTTCAAGATGCATGAAAATCACAGATATTTCCCTATAGCAACTAGATTAAAGGTGCTGTATGTTTTTGACACTTCTAAAGCATAAAAATACCATATTATGTTTGCAGATATTTAAGAAACATGCTATATAAGAGAACATTCTTGTTTATCTGAAAAACAATGCTAAAGTCAGATATTCTGCTTTGAAAATGCTGAAGCGTCTGTCTTTGTTTTGCCAATTTAGCCAATTATATTTCAGCACCCTGAGTTGTCTTCATGGAAAACAGCGTATTTCATTTATTCAGTCAGGAAGGCTCTCAAAGTATCCGTCCAAAAATGCGACCTCTGGTGGACAGTAGCACACTCCGAAATGAGAGATTCAGAGTTCCACGGGTGGTTATTATTAGAAAATAATATAACAGACGTAACGATACACCAACGTAAACATTAGGAGAGCAAGTTACATTGTAACCCTGTGTCCTAACAACATGCCACGTGATGAGATATGCAGTGATAAGCAATTTTTCTGTTTGCACCAGACGTTGAACCAAACAGAAATTTAAATACAGCCACTCAAAAAGCACAGAATAGTGCACTCACTGCACTTCAGCGAAATAGTAAGGTTTAAAATCTATTTTTTACATGTTAAACCTCTTTAACTTTATTAAATGTAGATGCTGAATCACTGATATGTGTTGCCTTGCACTATGACAATAAATTATGACAATAAAAATCATGCAAAATGGCATTCAAACTCAAATTATTAGCATTTAACACTGAATAAAGCGCATGAGCTGTATCTGAGGTGATCAAAGTCCATCCTGTTGATCACCTGTGAAAAGCCGTTTCTAAAATAAAAATGTCAGGTGTTGGTAAGGACAAAAACTCCTTTTATTATGAAAATTGATTTCTTCTATCACGTGCCATTGCTTTTAGTTTAACTTACAGTTCACATCAGTCTTAAATAAGCCTTTAGGCTCGATAGTCAGGCACACTGATGTCATTCTGGCAACCTGCGATTGCGTGGACTCAGAGAAGGAACAGAGTGAAAATGTGTTTTGATCCAGGAGTGCAATACCTAGTTTAACCACTGGGTGTCAAACTTACACACTGCACCTATTAATGAAAATCATAGATATTTCCCAATATCAGCTAGATTAAATTAAACCTAAACATATACAACACACTTTTAGAAATAATATCTTTACTGTGTTGCATTTGCTGACAGCATTTAGCAAGAAGAATTAATAGGAAACTATTTGATGCAATTGCAAAACGCCGCTAGTGTAAATCCTCAGCAACAAACACTCTCCAAATGAACTCTTACAGTGATTTACTAAGCAATAAACTTCACCTCAGAGAATAAACTTGTGCACAGCTAATTCGCTACACGTCCACCATTAGCAATGCCCATCCACAACAATCTAGAAGAAATCTTCTCACCTCTTTCTGGTGGTATTTGATGGCCAGCTTGAGTTTGGCCAGGTCTCTGCACTCGCGTGGGTCCAGCTCCTCACTCTGATCGTCACGGTGGTTGAGAATGGTCTCCAGCTCACGCGAGCTTCGTGCCTGGTCCAGCAGGTCTTTAGCGAAGAGCTTGCACTGCTGAGAAAGCTCTTCGTACTCCTGCCGAAACTCGTTCTCCACTTTGCTGAGCTCCTTGAGTTCCCAGCCCAGTCTGAAGGCGGTCAGGATGGGATCCTCGCTGGAGAGGGCGATGAGGGACGGGCTGGCAAGCGCTTTGTAGATGTTGAGACGGGACCGGGAGTGACGCAGACTGTCCACTTCAGAGCTGGACACACACTCCACGCAGTCGCAGCGGATCTGGTGCGGCCGAGGGATGGTGACTTTGCGCTGAACCAGGAGTTTGATGATCTCGTAGTTGTTTGTGTGAGCTGCCAGCATGATAGGGGTGATGTCAGGCGTGAACTCCGAGAACTGGGCGTCCATCATTAAGGAAGGGACCTGAGAAACAAGCAGGACAAAGTTCATCAAGAGTGTTTCTACTATGAGCTGTGTGCATAATTATAAAAAACAGTCAATTTGACTGTTGCAAGTTTCAACAGGTTTAAGTAATGTAACAGCAGTACAGCAAAGCAACAGAATATTGATGACTACACTGTAAAAATGAGGTTGCATTACGGGACCACCAACTTTTACCATGAAAGGTTGGAAAAAGTTACTTTTATTAACATTTTTAATCGTTTAAAGGGAGATATGGTCTGGATTGGTGTTGTACATTACGATAAAAAAAACCTTGTAATATACTGCCAGTGCATTTTCTGTTATTTTACAAACTTATTTATTTATTAAACATTATATTATTTAAAACTACTAAAATGTGAATAAAAGTCAACTTTGTTAAACTGTAGAGTTGAACTTTCAACACCAAAAGTCTACAGAGCTGAGATCAAGCTTTCATAATGCAATTCACAATCGTAAATAAACAGAAAACACTTGTAAATTGCTAAATATGGCAACTGTTAAACAACAGATATTGTTTACAGTATAGACTTTTTAAAAGAGAGTAAACCATTGCTTTTAAAGTGATAAGTTGACATCAAAAGCGTTTAGTTACTTTACATAAATAATGTGAGCAAACCCGCTGCCTTATCAATAATTAAGTAATTGAACTGTGTAGTTATGAAAATTAAGTCAACTTAACCGTTTCAAGTTTACTCATTTTAAGTAAAGCAACTAAATGCTTTTTACAGTATGCAGCAATCTTTCAACTCGCACCACATTAACACAAACAGTAAAGTAACAAAATACAGATGACTAGACAAGAGTCTGGATCTCCATTTAGCACAGAAAAACCACAAATGATCCCTTTAAGATCTCAGAACACAAGATCCATGCAGAGTGTTTCACCTGACAGTCCATCAGTATAAAAGAAGCTAAAAATGTAATTGTAAAGTTGACTTTTATAAGGGAGTAAACCTATTACTTTTAAAATGATTAGTTGACATTAAAAGCGTTTAGTTACTTTACATAAATAATGTGAGTAAACCCGTTGCCCGCTTTTTGCTTTTTTTGGTTGTGAATTGCATTATAGGACCTTGATCTCTTCTCTGTCCACTTTTGATGTTAAAAACTCAACTCTGCAGTATAACAAATGACTTTTATTAACTTTTTAGCATTTTAAAATAAGGCATTAGAAAAAAATACATAGATGACTAATTCTGTAAAATAACAGAAAATGTACTGGCAGATCATTCATTCATTTTCTTTTCGGCTTAGTCCCTTAATAATCACAGACTGAACCGCCAACCCATCCAGCATATGTTTTACACAGCAGATGCCCTTCCAGCTGCAACCCATCACTGGGAAACATCCATACACATCATACACTATGGACAATTTAGCTTACCCAATTCACCTGTCCCGCATGTCTTTGGACTGTGGGGGAAACCGGAGCACCCGGAGGAAACCCGGAGAACATGCAAACTCCACACAGAAACGCCAACTGACCCAGCCGAGGCTCGAACAAGTGGCATGTTTGCTGTGAGGCGAACATGCAACCCACTGTGCCTGCAGCCCTGGCAGTTTATTACAAGGGTTTTGTACCATAGTATAAATCACCAACCCAGACAATATCTCACTTTTAATTTATTATTTTAATTATTCAAGGTTAAAAGTTGCCCTTAATGGTCCCATAATACAATTTAAAGCAGAAATAACCAGGAAAGAACAAAAAAATTAATCACAAAATATGTGTATGCATGTAATTTGTTAATTTATGAAATAAATTTTATAATTTGTAAAATTAATACATTACTGTTTATCTTGTCAGTTATTTTGTCTGGACCTCAAAACTTATATTGCATACTTACATTTTAGACAATTCATTATATGGGTCAAAATTACAGAATTTTCGTTTATGCTAAAAATGATTAGGATATTAAGCAATGACCATGTGAAGATTTTTGCAAATGTCCCACTGTAAATGTATCAAAACTTATTTGATTAGTAATATGCATTGTTTGGAACTTAATTAGGTGATTTTCTCACTATTTCGATTTTTCTAAACCCTCAAAATTTTAGATTGTTAAATAGTTGTAGCAAACTATACATCAACAGAAAGTTTATTTATTCAGCTAATAAAAAAAGGTTTCCACATGATCGATTTGTGTTGGGACAGCATGAAGGAATTAAAGTTGTTAGTTTTTTCAAGTTTAAGTGGATTGAAGTTCAAAAAAAAAAGTTGCCCTGACCAAAAAATCAAGAATTGTGTTGATTCAGCTCATTTTAAATAAGTAGTTTGAACAAACAACAAAGATTTTTTTTAGTCTAATAATGTAAGAATCTCAATTTCAGAAAAAAAAAACTGTTATCTGCTTTTTTTTTTGTCACAGAATCACATTTTAGATACTTTTTATCTTTTATTTAGAAATGTATTGTTTGTTTTAAATGTGTTTTGACAGGGGGAAACTGTACAAGTTGGTAAATGTTTGAAGCTCTGATTCAGCCCAAGACAGCAGCTAAAACTGGATCGTTATATTTGCCTCATATCTCCCGAAGAAATGCTAATTTGACAGAAACGAGAAATGTTTAAAAGCACAGAAGCTTCCAGAAGATGTGATGCGAGACAGTCTTAAGCTCCGCCTTCTCTGCCTTCACTCCTCCCTGAGTCTGGAAGATGAAACAGGAGCGAAACACTGTTTACAGCTCGAGTGAACAGAAAAACAAGTGATGATGGAGGAGCTCTGCATATATATATCACCCTGTCCTTGCAGCTGTTTGCCGAGGAGGGAGAGAAACCTTGTCAGGAAGATGAACCGCAAACCAATCAGAGCCTTTCCTCTTTTTCACCTCTCCTTCTGTCTGTCTTTCACCCCATTTGTACCTTTTCTCCTCATCAATCACATCCACAATCACTCACGAATCCCAGTCTAATTTCTCAACCCATACAGTAAAACTATTTTCTGGCTAAAATGTATGCTGAATGTAACTGTGAGGCTGAATTAAATATAATTTTTAAATCAAAATATATTTTAAAATGTATTTGTGGGTCAGTAAAATACATTTCCAGCCTCACAATATAATGTGGATGAGATCTATTGATCCATTCATGTAGATAACAATAAATTCAGAAAATTTGCATTTTAAAGTTGATTAGAGTAACAGATGATTGTATTATTATATAATTAAGATTATAACATGTACAACTGATTACAGTGGTATATATATATATTTATATATATATATATATATATATATATATATATATATATATATATATATATATATTTAACAGCAATGAAATTTTCACAGCATGTCTGATAATGTTTTTTTTCTTCTAGAGAAAGTCTTCTTTGTTTTATTTCCGCTAGAATAAAAGCAGTTTTAAATTTTTTAAACACCATTTTAAGGACCAAATTATGAGCCCTTTTATGCAAATTTTTTTTTCAATAGTCAACAGAAAACTCCATCATTATAAAATTACTTGCCTAATTATCCTAACCTGCCTAGTTAACCTAATTAACCCAGTTAAGCCTTTAAATGTCACTTTAAGCTGTATAGAAGTGTTAAATATTATTTACTGTCATCATGGCAAAGATAAAATAAATCAGTTATTAGAAATGAGTTATTAAAACTATTATGTTTAGAAATGTGCTGAAAAAAATCTCTCCGTTAAACAGAAACTGGGGGAAAAAAATAAACAGGGGGCTAATAATTTTGACTTTAACTGTGTGTGTGTGTGTGTGTGTGTGTGTGTGTGTGTGTGTGTGTGTGTATATATATATATATATATATATATATATATATATACACACACACACACACACACACACACACACACGCACACACACGCACACACACGCACACACACACACACACACACACATACACATACACATACACATACACATACACATACATACACACAACAGTTCTGTCTGGTTCTCGAATCTGATTGGTTGATATTCTGCAACCTCAGCACTCATACAGCCTCTTCCTCCATTGATATTACTCCGCCCACACAGAGTGACAGTAGATAAATAAGCTCACTACAGTTTGACAAATATTGCAGTTGTTGGACAACATAACTTACTTTTGAGCCTTTTTTTAGGCAAGAATGTAGTTGTTTAGGTTGCAACTATGCAGTTTATTTATAAGGATAGCACCTTTTTAAAATATTTATAATTTGGAGATTCAGCGCATTGACAGCCATTAGGCGGTCATTGAGCGGAGCAAAAAGGGGTTAACGTTTTGCCACAAGATGGCAACAGAGACTGCATAATAAGTCCATAGGAGAGGAAAAACTTTGCACACACAGCTAAATCATTATAAAACTGGTAAGTGACATTACAAGTCAATCTCTTGCTTTTGTATGTGGTTGTGCTGTATTTATACCACAGTAATCTGGTAGTGTTTGCTTTGGCTTGGTTTTTTCTGGGTTAACTATTGTGATATCCTGATTGCAAAAGAGAAATACTGGGAAATCTCTGCAGACTGATGGCATTTCAATACTGGCTCTAAAGTGACGTTGGTGATGTAGCAACGGTTTCCGCATTTCTGACGTCAGCTGCAGATGTGAATGAATGGCGGAAGAAAGTAGTTCCTTATACAAAAGAATTTTTTTGCCTCTCCATGTTTGATTTTCTTTTTTTATATACGCGATTATGTCGTTAAACTGCTGTATAAATGCAACCTTTTTTATCTTTTTATATTTTTGTTTAATTTACATAACATACATTTTCAAAATGATTGACAAAAAATATACAACAAAAAAATTTACAATTAAATTATTTTCCTTAATTTAAACATTTTAGAAACCAAGTAAACAATTTTATCCAGTGTTACATTCATGTACTTTCTTACAATTAGTCAATTAACTAATTAGAAATACAGAAATAGTGTATTGGTACAAAATATATTTATGTGACCATATTTTTTCAAATATATTTTAGCAAATACATTTTTTGTACATTTTGAAATATATATTTTAAACACATTTGTTA